TCCATCTTCTTGGCATCCGCTGCAGGCGGTGTTTCAATGCGCTGTGGGAAGCTTGGAGGCAGATTCCTGCAAACCGACTTGAACAAACCCAAATGTTTGGTAGATCCTCCAAAACTTCTATATAGCAAATAAGATGCAACCACTGCAGCTTGTCCACCATTTACCGTAGCTTGCTCTCTCAGACATAAACCACAATCATATGCAACCCGACAAATTCGTGATCATGCTGCTGGTCCTCGGCGCGCTGGAACCTTCGCTATCTCGGGAAGGCAATGACCCAGAAAGCCTCTCATGCCTCCCACTGTTCAAACACTAAACATAGTAAAACATAGCTTGAGCAACCAAACATGTACATTACTTCGAGGCTGAACTTGCCTTCCGGCCCAAATACATACAACAATTGACCTATAATGCGTGCATATGCGTGCGGCTGCTCAAAAGCCTCAGCCAAAGTACTTAGATCACGTTTTGTACTGTCTACTTGTTTTTTTTAGCATTCAAACTAAATACATGAAGGCATGAAGGTGTATCATCTTGGACTCTGGACAGCCAACTTAGCTTAAGACGGATTGAGATTGACTGAATGTCCATCCTTGCTGGTGCATGTGCCAAGGGCGGGGTTCTTGGAGGCGTGCTGGGCATCTTCCTGCGACGACCGCAGCATCTGCTGCAAGACTCGTTGAATGTGTGGATGACCCAATTGGACAACCGTTCAAACACCACCGTTGTGATTGACTCAATTGACCCTCTCCATGGCGTGTTGCAAAGAATATGACCTCAGATTCCAACAAAGGTTGAAAAACTATAGACTATCCCATAGGTACCCCAGGTGACGGGTCCTATTTACAGTCACTTGACCTCTGTTGGTTCCAATACTTCAGGGTATCAGGTGCAGTTTGCCTATGTTTGCCTCTCGCAGTCCTCAGGTCAACATCTCGAGGCAAAGCACCTGAGAGCCTGGCGATGGCGAAACCACCCTACATTCACCACTGAAGATTGAAACCACCCGTTTCAAATGTGTAAATATTTCACACACGGAGTGTAATAGGCCAATTGCTTAGTCCATACTATCTGGAAACAGGTCAGGATCTGTCCAGTCGAAGCTTGTCGATCAGTGATGTGTCAATCCATGACGATGACGACAACTATACTAGTTATCGCTAGTTATTTAGCCTCCATGACAATATGTAGGATCACTTGTTAGTCAGGGATCTGCCATTCCTTCAATGAACGATTTCCCAGGACTTTCCCTTCGATTTTGGAACAGAACTCCTGGACAAAGGACCGAACGAATGTGCTCCGTGTAGCGATGCCAGGAGACCCTAGTAGCGTCCTTGCTCCTAGTAGCGATGCCAGGAGAGCATGTTGTTTAGCGGTTTGTCTCTTAGACTAGAGCAAGTGCACATGTCTGCTTTTTCAGGAGAGTGTGAATGACACATCACCGACAAAAAAAAGGGGTCTGTCCGTCCACCGATAGAAAAATGATTGCCCAACTGAACATCCAGTTGGTGACGGCGACTGGACACCAATGATGCTCTCGGCAAGATCGGACTAAAACAAGACTTGTTGACCAGCAGTGTGTTATGTCAAAGTTAGAAATCCACAACTCTGTCCAGGATGGTTTCCTGACGTCAACGAAGAACTCAAAACAAAATGGACTTCGAAACTCAAGCTCATGATTCTCCGGTACTTTTCTGCTCGGCCAGTTCCCTCTGATCCTCCTAAACATCATCTAAAACGCAACCGAAAAAACACACAAACTACAATACGAAGACATATGAAGTCTTTTATGAAATCAAGTGATTTGGATTCCTTGTTGTTTCATATCAACAAAGGGCGACCATGCAGGGGGAACCCCTGAGACCTTCGCGGACCGTGCTTCAGCAACTCCGCCTGGGTGGATTGGAGCCCGGAGAGTGTTGGGAGGCACTGCTTGGAGTTCCCGTCCTGGTAGGCGCCGGAGTTCCGTAGGCTTTTGGAGGGAAGGACCCTTTTTCTGGAAAGTGATGGGAAGTGAGGACCCGGGGCTTGATTCAGTTTTGAGCCATGTCAGTGAATTCACTGAGTTTCGAGCCATTTCAAAATCAACCTCATGGGATTTAGGAACCTGCAAACACGTGGCATTTACATCCCTATGGGCGGCTCCCTTGCTTTGATTCAAGAGATAGGGGGATGATGTTTGATTAACGTCATCGGTATGCCGGCGGCAAGCCGGACACAAATCATGAACCTTTGTTTGGAAGTGGGACAAATCTGGAAATGCCGGACATCCCGTGCCTTTTTAGACGGTCGTTGAGCCAAGTTCAACACATGGGAGTGAAACATCCAGCGATCCCCGTCCCAGTCGTCCGTCCTGGGCCCATCAAGCGATCCGGAGAGCCTAGCGATCCGAGAGAGCCAGCAGCGAATGTGTTCCTAGTAGCGATGCCCTTTGCTCCTAGTAGGACCTTTGCACCTTGATGTTTTTGCTGGTTTCATTGTTTCAAACAACCCAGATTAATGGATATGTTGGAGGAAACTCGCACACACAAGTATAGATATATACACATTGCTGGACAAGGGCTCTAAATTCTGGGAAACATGGCGCTCACCTTTAACCCATACTGAAGCCTCAAAAGGCTGGCAACTGGTTGGCACCCGCCATACATGGAACTTTTCTACCCGTTCCCTGAGGAGGTCAATGAACCGGGATCATTCTAGTAGAAAGGGAAGTGGATACGGTTAGTATGAGACGTTTCTTTCTGCATGCCAGCAAATTTGTTTGTTATATATAACATATAGAGATATAGGCCATCGCTAGTAGGTTGGAGGCCATCGCTATTATATATTAAGATATATAGTGACATGTATGTCAGGCATGCCAAACCCATGGCAGAATAGAGTTCCAGGTGTCCCATGGTCCATCACGGTGCCGCATGATCACGACATCGGGATGAGTGTGTAAACAAATCAGGAACAGTTCATCCCAACAGGGAGCTTGCTAAATATAGATTTGTTTGGGAGTTTCTCTCGACTGGGCAATTGGCAATAGTCTAATGAGAAGTGAACTTCCTGCTTTAATCCCGAGTACCTATTTAAAAACGGACCCCTATTAGAAAAAAGTCATGTTGGAAAACTCTAAATACGGCTTATATTTGGTTTTTAATTACCGCCCTTTCAAGCCGCTACTAAACTACCAACATTGCCGACTTTGGAGGAGTTTTTTAAATTAGGTTCCAAAAACAACCGTAACTGCCCACCTCTGTCCGCCCTGTCTATCCACCATGACACGCCGCGCTTACACCAGCAGGCTTTCCTTCCCCCAATGGCACGGACTCACGCAAACGCACTTGCCACCGAGGTCATGCAACACCGCATGGCACAGCGACATCACCTTTCAAAAGCTTTAGCTGTTAGTCTACTGAAGAATCACTATTCTAATGAAGGTTTTTGTAGGGGAAAAGGAAGACCCTTCGATCTGGAGCTTTTTTGCATTTTTGATACGCATTTAAAGATGAATTTATATAAAATTTTACTGGTTTACTTTTTGGTTTTGAAGCTCTTCCCAGGTGACCCTATTTTGGACCCCCCCGATTTCAGGGACCCCCTAATAGAAAAAAATCGACCGAGGTTTCCTTATTGGGGGGGGCCGTGTTTTTTAGTAGGTGGACCGGATTATTCAACAATGTCTCAAACATGTTTCTTCATGGTTCTTCTGAACCTAGTGGAAAGGCAATCTGGCCACCTCCTGCGTACCTGATCACTCTGTCTCAGTCGTCTGACATTAGCAGTTGGCAGGACACATAACTGAGGCAGAAGGCTGTGTGAAGAGGTCTTATAGTGCATTGAGACATTGCATACAGATCCGACATTGGCAGTTTCAGGACAGATTGTGAAAAAAAGAATGTTCGGAAAGAAGGCTGTATGCATTTCACGATCATATTCCAGCACCTTCCAACAGGTCTCCTTTGGAGGGTTGTTAGGCCCTAACAGGTTTCAATTGGTGACCTGTTGGAGGTGCTGGTTGAGAGATACTCTCCGCTGATGGAGATACTCTCCTTGATACATCCCACGTTCTGAACAAGCGTGCTACGCAGCAGAACTGGTCAGATCAATCGATGAACCAATCAGGGTCCCTAAGTTGCTCGAGGTCTGTCCTAGAAATCATGGGGAACCTGTAATACCTTACTCAAAGATGCAATTCAGTCGTTTGGGCTGCGAAGGTGATCACCTGGAGATGAACCCACGGTCTTTTTTCACGGAACCCGCGGTCTTTCACCCTCATAGCATGTCTGGACTTCCGATCTCACCCACCCACAGCTCGCTGCCTGGGCTTCACTTCTCGTGCTGGTGGGGAGCCCAGTTGCATCGGGACACCCACAGCTCGCTGACCGGACGTCCTGCAAATGTCAGGCAGATCCCGCGCGAAACGAACTGCAGCAAACAGAACTCAGGGTCTTTTGTGACATGTGATATGTGTTTTTGGTTTCCCCAGGTGTTGTTGCTGATGTTCAATTGGCCATGCTCCACTCTCAGCTTCGAAAATTGCAGATCTGCACCATCTGCACCTCGACTCATTCGATCCCTGAAAACCACGTTCGATCCCTCTGCCGGGTTTCTCAGCCTTGGTGGTTCCGGATAGTCAGGAGGAATGGGCGGAACGGTCCCATCACTGGGGAGGCTGGTCCTGCGGACACAAGTGAGGCGCAGCATGCTTCTGTGGACGTTCTGCAG